TGCTCATTTGAAAAGAAACAATTTTGCAATAAAATGAAAAAGAAAAATGCCTGGGCACAAATTGTCCGTGATGACTGATACAATTCAAGGTCTGGATTCGCAGAGAGCTTTAAAAGTGCATTATGTAGCTTTCTGGTTGGGGCTTCGTCACGTTCTCCTTTCTATGGATACGTTGTTGCACTGCCTGGAATGTTCCACAGTATGGCATTAAACAGCTCTAACTTAGGCTACGTTCAGACTGCAGCCTGAAGTGACCCAAATCTGATTTTTTGGCCTCTATGTGACCTGTATCTGATCTTTTAATGACAGTCTGAACGACACAGATCCGATTTTTTCAAATGTGACCCACGCCACTTGGATATGTGCTCCTGAAACCGATTCATATCTGATCTTTTGACATGCGACTTCAGTCTGAACGGCCAAAGCGCATTCATCCGACCTACACGTTATCAACAAGCCACAAACGTCACTATTCTGCTCTGAAGTGACCAAAAACCTCGTCCTTCTCCTTCTCAATCTCCTCCTTAAAACAAGTAAGTTGTTCATGTTCTGGCTCCAGTACGAGTGGAACTTCAAAATCTCCAGGTGCTCAATGCTCGCGTTCATGTTTGGACAACTTCCGTAAACACAGAGCACGCTCGCTGTGGTTGACATCATCGTGTCTCCAGTGCACATGCGAAACACTTTCGGGCCGTTTAATGTTCACACTGAAGTTCACATACAAGTTGCATTTAATTTGGAAATGTGAACGAACCTCGTAAAAACATCGGATTTCATAAAAAAAATCGAAATTGAGCATTAAGCCCTGCAGTCTGAACTAGGGATGGGCATGATTAATCGATTAATAGATAATTGATCATTAAGAATTTCATCGATTACATTAATTTTAATCGACAAACCGAATGTAGGTTGCTGTGTGTAGCGTGACCAAACAGGGGTCTGTACATGTGTCTCTCTGCATCAGAAGGAGCGAGACACAAACAGTGGGTCAGTCTGCAACGTACCGAAGCACAAATGCGTATTTAACGATGACTTCTACAAGAAATTCCACACTTTCCATTGCGTTTGGGACAAGTGTGAGTCCATGTGCACAGTGTAACAAAAGCAGCACATATGTTTCAGTGTCCAGTGGGAAAAAGCTTTACCAGGTGAGAGTCGCACAATGTCAATGACGAGTCCCCACCTCCCTCCCCCCGTACTGTGTCCTGGTTTTGACAAACACAAATATGGTCACACTAACCTGTATTCCACTGAGTCATGTCTTTTAATCTGACAGAAATTGACCGCATCGGTGCACAAGATCTTTGCTGAGTTTATGCAAATTAGCGACGTGGTTTTAAGTTTCATTTCTGTGAGAGTTGCGCAAAACTGAATTAAACACATTATAATGTCAAACGGATTGATGTGGCTCTAAAGTCGTTACGGTTTATATGTCGTAAAGTTGAATTTATTTATGCAGATTAGTAGTGCAGATAGTAATAATAATGATGATCATTTTAATATAAAAACGTTAACGATTAATTGATATTCGATCGTTAATTCTTCCGACGATCGATTAAGAAAATTTCATCGAATGCCCATCCCTAGTCTGAACACTTTATATTTATCAAATTACAGGTGGTTTTATTGCTCAAGAATGCTTCAAAAAACAACCTACTGTGAAAGATTTCTGACAACGCAATAACATCGGCATGGAGAAAAAAGCATTTGACTTCACTCGAAAAGTTACACAATGCGACTTTAAATCTGTCAAGCATATCGAATTCTTAGTATAGAGAAGAGTGAGCGGACATTGTGTACTGAACAATGCATGGCAAAGCAAGCCTCGCGTCAGTGAAAAATTACAACTACAATGGTGGGAATGTGGCAGGGATAGCTTCGAAGTGAAATCATATGTTGTGCATCTGAAACGCATTCGTCTTTATTATATTAGTGAAAGGTTTATGGTTCCCCTCATGTTTTGTACAATAGACTTGGCAAAGCGGTCCATAGGCGGAAGAGGTAGCCATGGCAACGATGAAAAACACAACTTTGCTCCAATAGCCTACCACAGGCTGCCACGGTCAATTTGCTGCTCGATAAAGTAAAGTCTTAAATATAAATGTGCTTTCTGTCTCCTCCTCTTATCTTCTGCTGCAGTCTTCTACGCCCATCGCCACCGCAGAAGTAGAACCACCATCCTTCTCAGCCTGTCCATCTCCTCCTCTTAGTTAACAAAACCTCAAGGCACCAAAGTTGATTCGATTGATACTTTGCATTGGGAGTTCTACATGTATCTCTACCATGGAGCTATAATAAAAACTGGATAAGGCGTTTGTCCCAGCTCGAGACCGACTAGTGGCCGATCCAGGTACTGCAGCTCCTGGAAGCTTGGACCCAGAAAGAATTCAATTAATTTTTCAAAGTGCAATTCATTTTTCGGGGAATTCAAACTGCCTGTGTTCGGCTGACAGGGCATCCACAACTTTCACAAGGACAGGATTTTGTTGGGATTCTTTTCTATTTTCACAACATAAACTTTTTAAAATTTTCCAATCCTCAAAGCGCTTAAAAGTTAGTTATGTAAGACTTAGCCTAGCCCAGGGGTCTCCAACCTTTTTCCTCTGCTGAGCTCCTTTACAAAATGAAAATGCCAGAGAGCTACTACTTTTAGCTGTCACAAAAAACTGAGTCACCATAAGACCTTAGATGAGGTACAGTCAGATGCCTATAGAGACCCTGCAGTCACGTGACCGTTTTTGTTGACGGTCCTAGTAACATGGCTTGTCTGTGGTCGGGTCATAAATTCCCAGATTCATGGTGATTTTTCTTTTTTTTTTTTTTTACATTTGCGTCTGTATTGCTCAACAATTCGGAGATGGGACCCCCCCGAATATTGGCGGATATTTTGCACACAGCTTCAACCGGGATCTGATACAACTGAACCCCTGTGTCTTTATCTCTCTGCTGATTACAGCTGTGCACAACATTTCCCAGCATGTGTCTTAATATGAAAATGAAAGTAACGACTCAAAAATGTGCTAATTGGTCTATTGCCGGTGTGGCTCGCTGGACCGCCAGACGTGGATCGGGGCAAGACCGTGACGTCACATGCAGGGTCTCAATAAAACATAACCTGGTAACACTTTATAATAACTACACCTTATTTAGCCTTAATAAAGCATGAACAAAGGCTTAATTAATAATGAACAAAGATTTAATTAATAGTGATTCACGCTTAGTAACTACTTAATTACTACCTTAATTAGCACTTGCACTTAATTTGCCTGTGCTGTAAATAGTTACTTATAATTATTTCATACTTAATTACTCATGGACTAACCATTTGAGCATTTATTAATCATTAATAAGCTATGAGAGAATGATTTACTAATAATACAATGCAATGATAATTCAGGCAGCTGTTATCTGTTAAGTCTTTTTGAGAGTGTTTCTAAAGTGAAGACGAATTATGCTTTATTAAGCATTTACTAAGCGTGAATCATTATTAAGTCTTTGTTCATGCTTTATTAAGGCAAAGTAAGGTGTAGTTATTATAAAGTGTTACCAATTAATTTAATTATTGTGCAGAATAAGCAAATTCTGCTTATTCAGCACAATACGTCCAATTCAGAAAGGTTGGAGACCCTAGCCCTACTCTGAGCCCATGCTAGCTCCTCTCTAGCAGCTCTCCATCTGATTGGTTCAAACGCTCCACGGCGTTCATGTACAGACATCACATGGGTGGGAGGAGCTCGCCTGTATTTAGGAATTAAATGTGGAAGAAAGAATTATTTTTGGGTCCATGCACCAATAAGCTCAGGACACTGAAAACAATACAGGTGGCAACTTGGGTTCACCTTCCAGATTTTATTATAGTTCTATGACCTCTACTGGCGGAATATTTAGAAGTTATCGGGGAAACGCAATGCACACATAAGCAAACACTGTAAAAAAAAGTTTTTAAATTGTCTGAAAAAAATACAAAATGGATTTAAACAGTAGATGTTCAGGAGCCTGTGATCAATACAAACATTCATGGTCCTGTTTAGGTGTTTGAGTTTGAACAAAAGGGTGAAAGTGACTAAAAAACTGTTATATGCTTATATTTGAGAGACTTGCCTAAGTGCACACATCATCTCACCGGTTCTAGCTCCAACCAAAGCAGCTCTTTCTGGTCAGACTGTGTTAAAATAAAGCTCAGATTAAATCTAATTTGAGCTTCAGTTAGAGTCATGCTTTCAAATAGCTCCACATTCCCCAGGAAATGTTTATGACATCGGCTGCAAAGCATCAATGAATCAGAAGCATTCTAGCAAACTAACTTGCCAACTCCATGAAAGTAAAAGTAAAGACAAGTAAAAGTAAAAGACAAAGTTATCAGTTATTAGTTATTAAAAAAGAAAAGAAAAATCTGGACCAACAAATAAAATACATGTAAAAAGGACAGAAATAAATAAATAAAAACAAAATGAATACTTCAAACTCCAATATAAAGTAAGTAATAAAAAAAAAAAAAAGTAAAATAACAATAAAGTAAAGTAAAATAAAATTAAAGTAAATATAAAATAAAAAATAAAGTAAAGTAAATGTAAAATGAAGATAAAGTAAATGTAAAATAAAAGTAAAGTAAATGTAAAGTGAACGTAAAGCAAAGTAAAAGTAATGTAAAGTAAAAGTAAAGTAAAGCAAATGCAAAATAAAAGTTAAGTAAATATATAATGAAAAATAAAGTAACTGTAAAGTGTTAAGTAAAGTAAATGTAAAGTGAAAGTAAAAGTAATGTAAAGTAAAGTTTAAGTAAATTTAAAGTTAAGTAAAAGTTAAGTACAGCAAGATAAAACTAAAAGTAAAGTAAAATGAACATAATTAAAATAAAAGTAAAGTAAAGTAAATGTAAAGTAAAAGTTAAGTAAAGGTTAAGTACAGCAAAATAAAACTCAAAGAAAGAACAGTAAAGTACAATAATACTAATATAAAAGTAAAGTAAAGTAAAGTAAAGTGACGTAAAGTTGCCTTACCGAGTTGGATGTCATGCCCAGGTTGGTCTCGATGTAGGTCTCGGTCTTGGGTTCGACGGCCTGCTCCGCCTCCAGGATCTTCTCCACGGGCATGTCCTCGTTGGCGCAGCCGCTGGACTCCACCTCGCTCTCCGCCTTCTCTTTGGCTCTCTGGCGCTCCTCCTGGACAGCTGCATGTAACAACACTGGTTCCGGTCACTACTGCTGTTTGCTGGTCACATCATTGCATCAACACATCACGGTATTTGCGAAGAGTTAGCGCTCGTGTTTGTTTGTTGGCATGCGGGGATAGTTCGGAAGCCGGCTGTCAATTTGCAATGTAACAAGATCTTGAGGTGTAAATGAGATGGGAGTGTCATGCAGCTGAGAAGCAAAACAAATCTAATCGCTCAGGAAATATCAACTTTTGATTGCGTTTTTCAAATATTTTAAGTTCTAAAGCGTACAATATAATTACAAGATGACCTAAAGCGTACAAAAAAGTTAATAAATGATAAAATAATGCTTGATCGAGGGTCACCAACTTTTTGGAAACTGAAAGCTACTTCATGGGTACTGAGTCATACGTAGGGCTACCAGTTTGATACACTTTTCTGAAATAACAAATTTGCTCAGTTTGTCTTTAGTTATACATTATTAATAATGACTAATGATAATCGTCTATGTGGAGAAACTGATCACGTTAATGATTTCTCACAATAATTATCAACAATGACGGCAAGGTGGGACAAAGAGATCAATATTCAGCTCTTTAACTTTATTAATCTTGGTAATTGTAAAATTTGTAAGTACACTGTTAGCAGTTGTCATCATTGCTTCTATGTGGACGTTTCGGTTTCTTGACATAATCTTACAAATGCGCAAAAAGTGAAAAAACTATATATTTAATAAACCAGGAAATTTCGCAAAGGAAGCTTGGGAAGTTCCTAACCAGGTAAGAAGCTATGAGGTATCCCACAATCCACTGCACAGATCCACATTTCCAAACACTACTGTAAAAGTTCTACCCTCCACTGACCGTATGATGCTATTTCTGATCCATGTTAGAATGTTGTTTCCTCATCAAAAACATACTATTTTTTTCATTCACACATGTTTAACACACAAATCCCTTCTTCTCTCAAAAAGAAAACAAAGTTCTACCTTGCGATGTCATGTTCTAATACAAGAAGTGCTCCGTTGTGTTTTTAAACTTCATACACCTTCACTAGAATCATTTGGATCATTTAAGCCCTGGAATTTCCAATTTTACTAAACTGAAAATAAAAGCACTAGCCTGATTCATCAGTCGGTTTCACTTCGTGGAAACCGTCTGACCTCGCAGCATTAGGATTTGTTTGCTCAACGGTAGGCGGGTACTTTTTTTATTTAACCAATCACTGCTATTTGGTTGTGACATACGAAGGGCAATAATGTCTTTCCCCTTGATAAAATTCACCAAACATTCCCTTTGTTCCAGCTTTAAATCTTCAATTTCGGTTATCGTTTCCAACACAGAAAGTATGGCTTCTAAGGATGTAACGGTATCCAAATCTCACGGTACGATATTTTCACAATATACATCTCACGGTGTGATATTTATTGAGATATTTTGTGGAGGCTAACAAAACTGTGAATATGCGACTTTTTCCTCTTAAAATGCCTGGCCAAGACTTAATCCAAAGAACTACGATTTAAAAGTGCTTAGAACTGTTATTTCTTCATGTAGTTTGCACCAAAACGGAGCAAAGGATCATGGTCGATGTAGTTCCCTCTTTTTTTTTAGCTATTGCTGCACCATAACTCTTAATTAAAGCAAAGAGACTTGTGATTTGATATATTGTGATGGTCCATGATATTATTGTGAGAACTTTGACGATACGATATCACGATAATTCGGTTATTGTTACACCCCTAATGGCTTCGTCTATATCCATCTTGACTGCTTTGTTTACTGTTCTGCTGTACCAAAAAAAGGGACCCAGACAGGTGCTTGAGTTTGATGTCATGACTTCACAGCTCTTTGCCGATTGGCCGGTGTGTGGTCTGTAACTTCCAGGGTTCTTGCAAACCGTCTAGTGTATTTCGATTCCTGACCTAGTCGCTGGAGAGAAATGAAATTGAGTGGAGGCACTAGGTGTCGCTGCTTGGCTATAAAAACACTACCACTTCATGACTTCACAAGGTGGAACAGAGCATTTTAAGCTTTGGAGATGCAAACAGACTAATAATAAAGGATTACTCAAACACGTGTGAATGAAACAAAACACAACGCCAGGTCTGTATGTTTTGGATAACATGGATTAAAGCTCACAGGAGTCAGTTTTGCATAATATAGAACCTCTAATCTATCTCTAAATTACCAGGCTAAGTTACAAGTCAGATCTGAGGAGAGGCGTTCTCATTGACAGCAACTTTCACTTTTATTTGAGTAACTTCTTGCCCTTTGAGTAACTTCTTGACCTACATTTTTACACAGGTACTTCAATAGTTTTACTTAAGTAGATTTTTTTCATATGATACTTTTACTCAAGTAATCTTTTCTCTTTGTATCTGTACTTTCACTTAAGTAACAAAATTTAGCACTTTATTCACCATTGTTGTTTCAACTTTTCAAAATCCTGCAAAACGTTATCCATCCACTACCACCACAAAAAAAAAGCTTAATGCTATGCTGTGGAACATTTTTGGTAAAGCAATGTTCACCATCACCATAGAGACTCGCTACAGAAAGCATTGTGCATTTTTTTTTTTTCAAGGTCTGTCTTTTTCTCCCTCAGAAAAGTTACGATCGCACTTTTAAAATCCGAAACACTCTGACGATCGGTGACTTTGCCCAAACTGCCGCCGTCCTTGGAAACGACACCATTCTAAACTTCCCTTGGCAGAGTTTCTATCTCTTTTCTCAACACAAAGAAACATATTGTGCTTGTTTATCCTCCCGATCGCGCCGAGCTAACGCCTGTGTTGACGCTGCTCGCATGAGTCTGCATCAATATTTCAGTGTAAACAAGTGAAGGTGGTGACAACAGCCTTCTCGCTGCATCTAAATGAACTGTACGGCCCGGCAGAGTCTATAGCGCTGCACAGACTTCGGTATTTTCTTAAGATTTGTAAATAGAAAAAAACTGAGTGTCCTCCAAACTTGCACTATAGAACTTATGGAGGCGTAGAATCACAAGGAGTCCTTCAAACTTTGTTATACAGTATATGTCCGTGGTTTTCTATGATGATTGATTTGTATATACGGATGAGACGTGACACAACTGACAAGATAAACATAAGTTATAGTCAGTAGTGGAAGGTAACGAGGTACAACAATAAAACAACTACTACTAATATCAAGCCCTGATGAAGACCAGTTAAGGTCGAAACATGTTGGCTTTGGCCATTCAAATAAAGGCCTTTTAATTATATTTTTCCTCGTGCGATGTGTTCATTTTTTCTACTGTTTTGGAGCGCCTGGAATCCGTTGTGTCTTGAGTCTTGATCCTTTTTTCCAAGAGCACCCTCTAGTTGCTCCTACTGATTGGAACACCTGCAGCAAACAGCCACATTTTTGTTCTAACTACTACTAATACTTAAGTACAAATCTTACATATCTGGACTTTACCTACGTACATTTTACAGTGGACACTTTTTACTTTTAATACGACTAAACCAAGCCTAAACCGGGATTAAACCAAGGCTAAACCAGGATGAAAATAGGACTAAACCAGGTCTAAACCGGGATTAAACCAAGGCTAAACCAGGACTAAACCAGGACTAAACCAGGACTAAACCAGGGCTAAACCAGGACTAAACCAGGACTAAACCAGGGCTAAACCAGGACTAAACCAGGGCTAAACCAGGATGAAAATAGGACTAAAACCAGGTCTAAACTGGGATTAAACCAAGGCTAATCCAGGACTAAACCAGGACTAAGATTTCAAAATTGAACATTTTAGGAAAAAAAACTCTGGCGCCTAAAGGGTTAACTAGATTTTTTCACGTGATACTTTTACTTTTAATTTTACTTGAGTAAGTTCTTGCCCTTCCATCTGTACTTTCACTTAAGTAACAAAATTTAGCAGAGTTTAAGTAATTTTTCTAGCCGCTTTTTCCGTATTTGGTTTTCTCAAATTTGGGACGTTAACTTAAATTAAACGAATAAATAAGTCTCAGTCATTTTCAGCAGGTCTCACACCATAAAGAAAAGTACTTTTACTGCTTAGAGTAAAGAAATTATTATTTTAATATTTTTTTCTTTATGTTATGTGGAACTATGACTTCTTAATAATGCAGTATTTTTGTAACGAGGTACAAAAATAAAACGACTACTACTAATACTTAAGTACAAATCTTACGTAACTGGACTTTACCTAAGTACATTTTACAGGTGGTGGACGCTTTTTACTTTCACTTCACTACATTTGAGAGCAGTGATCTGTACTTTCTACTCCACTACGTTTTACATTTGGATTGAAAGGAAAAAGGACTTTTTAAAAAAATGGTTTGAGATCTGCTTTTTTTTTTTTTTTTTTTTTTTTTTAAATACATTTAATTTGAGTTTCCGTTCCAACTTTGAACAACACACTACACAAAAACACAAAAAAAAGGCTAGAAAAAATAAGAAGTCTATTGTCAATCTCAAAAACGTCAGACTTTGCCAAATAGGGTGTCAAATTTCATTCAAGCTAAATCATGTCTAAATCAGGACTAAACCAGGATGAAAATAGGACTAAACCAGGACTAAACTAGGTCTAAACCAGGTCTAAATCAAGACTAAACCAGGATGAAAATAGGACTAAACCAGGACTAAACTAGGTCTAAACCAGGTCTAAATCAAGACTAAACCAGGATGAAAATAGGATTAACCATAAACTAGGTCTAAACCAGGCCTAAATCAAGACTAAACCAGGATGAAAATAGGACTAAACCAAGCCTAAACCGGGATTAAACCAAGGCTAAACCAGGACTAAACCAGGGCTAAACCAGGACTAAACCAAGCCTAAACTGGGATTAAACCAGGACTAAACCAGGGCTAAACCAGGATGAAAATAGGACTAAACCAAGCCTAAACCGGGATTAAACCAGGGCTAAACCAGGACTAAACCAGGATGAAAATAGGACTAAACCAATCCTAAACTGGGATTAAACCAAGGCTAAACCAGGACTAAACCAGGGCTAAACCAGGATGAAAATAGGACTAAACCAAGCCTAAACC